CTGCATACATGCTGTAGTTGATTACTTAGGGGATGTTGTGGGACTCCTCAGAGTGGAAGTGGGTTCTTGCTGACTCTTTGGCCTGCTCATGGGACTTTTTTTCTTCTACTGGTTTGCCTTTTATAGCCTTGATATCAGGGTTTATGTTTAGTCTTATTGAATATTGCTATATCGTTTTCCGTTGATATAATAGGGAGTCCTGCTCTTTTCTGAAGGGAAATGGAGGAGCAGTCGATGTTGAAAAGATGGGAGGTGGGAACCTGAGAGAAGTGGAAGGAGGGGAGGCTGCTATTGGGATTTACTGTATGAGAAAAGAATAAATAAAAGGAAAAGAAAAATGCATATTATGATTTCCAGTTGTCATGAACATAATAGCAATCTCATGCTAATCATTTACTGGCAATATTTTAAATCTAGAATTTATGCTAGGAATGGAATTAGGCTTTGCCATTATATCTGCTTTTACCTGATATGATTTCAAATATATCATTTCTTAACTTGCATTTTTCAGGGTAAATTTTTTCTTCTATACATATGAGCCAATGTGTGTTGAAGATCATACCATCCGATGATCTGTTTAGAAGAGCATCAGGTTTATATGTGTTCTTAATGTCCAGAATAAGGAGAAATTGGTTTTAAAAGAAATTTTGGGTGATTGTAATAATAAAATAGATTTAAAAAACTGTATATACCCATAGGATTCCAATGTTTACAGACATAAATCTTTTGTAAAGATGTAGGGGAGTAAGAATCTTCAAGCCAAGAAGATATGAAAAGTTCTAAGAAAAGCCAAGCTCTTTACGAAGTCACAAATACTGATGTGTCCTTATAAATTGAAAAAAAGAAGAAATATCCAATTAAACTACATTGGGGGAGTTATTGCATAATTCTAATGACTTTTTTCACTCATTTGTACATATAATAAAACCATTTTTTTTCTAATGTGAACCATTTGAACCTCATAAAATAAAACTGGGTGTATCATCACAGAGGTTCTCAATATTAAGCCAATTTTTTTTTGTTAAAAGGACACTTTTTTTTTTGGTTTTTTGAGACAGGGTTTCTCTTGTGTAGCTTTGCGCCTCTCCTGGAACTCACTTGGTAGACCAGGCTGGCCTCGAACTCACAGAGATCTGCCTGCCTCTGCCTCCCGAGTGCTGGGATTAAAGGCGTGCGCCACCACCGCCCGGCTAAAAGGACACATTTTAATCATTGGTATTTAGTGGTAATCCAGCATAAATTCTAAAGCAATGATTTGGTGAGGTATGGAGACTTAGTAAAATCAGATACATAAACATAACAAACTGTCCCAAGGGATATTGTTCCTTGTGAAACCCACCCATGTTTGCTGACTCACACATAGGTGATGCTTCCTAACCTCTTCAGGTATCCTCTCTTCAGGTTCTCAAGTGTGAATTGGAATGAATAGTGACTGTTAGGGGTAAAGGCCTTATGCGGTTTATTGTGGTGAAGTATCCTAGTTTTAGATACCATGCCAGTATTGATTTGCCACCACGGACCAAGGTATCTTAACCATGCCTAAATAAAGAAAACAACCATTGGAATCTTATTTATGACAAGAAAAGTTCATGTTTGATAGGATTACCATTTTTAAATTCAGATTTGGTTAAAGTATCTAATGAAACAGTGGGGGATACTTGATAGTTGCTATAAATCACTAAACATACCTGTGGGAATATCTCTGTGAAGAAAAGAAGTAAAATATGATTGTACACTTATAACTTCATATAGAGAGCAATCAGCTGAGGGTCCACCAATAATCTGAAGTTTATAAGGGTGCAGGAACAAGGAGAGCAGTGAAAATCCAAGCATCCCTCAGCCTGTATCCAAATGTCTACAAGCCACAGTATGGATATAATATTCGATTGATATTGATAGTATTATAGTCAAGTTCATTTCTAAGATAAGACCATGGAAAGGACAGGATTTCTTGTAGTCATTTTGGGAGTCACAAACTGCAATAACCATAAATATAAATGCTGGCGGTACCTAATTTGTTCTAATAAAGAGTTATTTGATGTTTATAGAAAACTGTCTTCATCATATATGAATATGTTTTGATTTCTGTGGAAAAGTGGTTTTTACAATATGACCCTATTCCTTAAATAGATCTAGCTTGTCACATTTAGCTTTCAGAAACTAAGTGATTTTAAGGAATATTGGAAACATTTGTGTGAAGAAGTGTACCCAGATACTGAAAGAAATGTAATGAATTCGTATTGTGAATGAGCTACCAAAATGTATATGTTACAGTAGAGTTTAGTTCACAATATGGGTTCAATGGGCTGGAGTGATGGCTCAGCAGTTAGGAGGACTTCCTGCTCTTCCAGAGTAACTGAGTTCAATGTCCAACACCTAACCTGGGCAGAATGCATAAATGCATGTAACTCTAGTTCCAGGGTATCTGATACCCTGCTGTGGATATCACTCTATATAAATAAAACACTGATGGCCAGTGACCAGACAGGAAGTATAAGCGGGACAAAGAGAGAGGAGAATTGAGGAAACAGAAAGAAGGGGGATAGACACTGCAGCCACAGCCAGGACAAGTAGCATGTAAAGACGCCGGTAAGCCACCAGCCACGTGGTAAAGTATAGATTTATAGAAATGGGTTAATTTAAGATAAAAGAACAGTTAACAAAAAGCCTGCCACGGCCATACAGTTTATAAGTAATATAAGCGTCTGAGTGATTATTTTATACGTGGATTGTGGGACTGCGGGCCTTGGTGGAACCTGGAGAGAAGCCCTCCAGCAACAATACCCAATGGCTTCCACCAGCAAAAACACACACTGTAAGCATTCACAGAGCTACAAAAATAAAAAAATAAAAATTAAAAAAAACTTAAAGTATGTTGAAAACAAAATATTGTAAATTAAATGAGAAAACATTACAATTAATTCCAACTTTTCAGGCTATGATACACTTACTCACCAGAGCAGTATTTATCTGTACAGTCACTCCCTCATTTTTATTTGTTTTTAGGTTGCTATAATCTTTTTATAATTTTATTTTTATTTAAAATAGATCATTACCATATAATACATTCCAATCACGGTTTCCTCCCTACCAACTTTTCCCAGATCCTTCCTACTCCCCCTCCACACACAACCAAATATATACATTTTATTTCTCTCTCATTAGAAAACAAACAGGCAAACAAACAAAAAACCCACAAACTGACAAACCAGAATAGGACAAATCAAAGAAGCAGAAAAAAAGAGCCAAACAAAATGTACAAGAAAGACATACAGCCACAGTAATACACATGCTTACACAGAAAACAAAGACTAAATCAGAAACCATAATATAATCAAAATACTTGTAAGTTAAAAAGTAATAACAACAAAAAAGACAAAGCATTATGAGATAAAAACTCTCTGAAAATACCACTGAATTCATTGTGTGTTGACTATGTATTACTGGGCTTGAGATCTCTACTTGTATGTGGTTTGTAGACCCAGTTAGCCTTCTTTGTAGAAAATGAATTTTCCCTTTGAGATTGGTTGCCAGCTAGAGGTAGCTTCTGGGTTAGGTATCTAGGCTTGTGCCCACTTGCCCTCTCAGTGCTGGGACCCCATCTGCCTTAAAGTGTGCCATAGTCTCTGTGAGTTCACATGTATGTCAGTCCTCTTGTGTCTAAAAGACCTCTTTTTTCTTGATGTTTTGAATCTCTACTGGCTCTTACAATATGCCCATCTTCTCTTCCACAAAATTCCTTGAGCTTTGAAGGAAGGAACTTGATGAAGACATCTCATTTAGGGCTGAGTATTCCACTGTTTCTCATACTCTATTTCTCTCTCTTATTAGAATATAAACTGGCATCTAGAAAAAAAATCCAAGATACATAAAAATGAACCAGAATAAGAAAAGAACAAACAGAAAACAATATTCAAAGAAGAAAATATGAGAAAGATATATGCATGCAGAAACACTTGTATTGGCACACAGAGAAATCCCATAAAACCACAAAAGAGAAAACCACAGTATATATGCAAAGGATGTGTAATGTTTAAAAATTTACTGACAAAGCATTATGGGACTAAGAACCTCCATTAATGTTATTGGTTCATTTAATGTTGGTCATCTACTGCTGGGCATGAGGCCTGCCCTTAAGAGTGGTTTGTATACCCAGCGTAACTCCACTGGAGAGAAGTAGTTTTTCATATGCTCATGGTTAAAAATTGGAGGTAGCTTCTGGGTTAAAGACTGGGCTTTGTGTCCACTTCACAGCCTCTTAGCACTGGGACTCCATCTAGCCCAGACCTGTGAAGGTCCTGTGCATATCACTCATTCTTTGAGTTAATATGCATGTCAGTCATAAAGTATATAGAAGGTCTTGTTTTTTTGGTGCCCTTCATCCTCTGTGTTTATAACACTCTGCCTCATCTTTTGAAGGGTCCTTTGATCTCTTAGAGGAAGGATTTAACTGATTTAGAACTGAGTGCGCCAAGGTCTCTCATTTTCTTCATATTGTCCAACTCTGGCTCTCTGTATTTGTTCTCTTCCAATGTAGGAGGAAACTTCTGTGATGATGGCTGAGAAAGGTACTGATTATTAGTACGTATATCATTAGGAGATTATATCATTAGGAGGAATTTTATTGCTAGCTCCTTTATCTGAATGGCAGTATTTGACTTTCCCCTAGGTTTATGGACTAACTGTTCTCAAGTTGTTGACCACATGGACATGGTTAGATGGGTTTTATCTCACAGAGTGGGCCTTAAGTTAAATCAGATATTAACTGGTTACTCCCACAAGCTTTATGTTACTATTACACCTGCATGTCTTGCAGACCGATCATCATTGTGGATCAAAGGGTTTGTAGATGGATTAGTGTTTAACTTTCTCCTTGAACAGCATACAGGATACTTTCCTCCACTATGAATACCAGTCAGTAGAGATGACGGCTCTAGTGCACGCTTTGCTTCTAGATGTCCAATGAGTTGTGTCTTCAAGAAATAGGAACTTACCATCATTTTGTAGAGAATATCAATGGCCTTGTCAACATTCCGGGTTTCTGGGGGTTCTCAATGGGTCGCTTTAGCCAACAACTAGATCAGAGGTAATCTATGTCCAGCTCTGGAGTCTTCATTCAGTGATGACAGACATGCACTTGGTCTTCCTTCTCCACTGTGATTAGGGAATTGCATTTAGATAACCACATTCACATATAGTTTAGGGATCTTCTACTATATTAGGTTTCTATATGACCCCTCAAAAGGCCCTTGGATTTAGCTGTATCTCTCTGTATTCCCTCCCTCCCCACTTATACCCAGCCTGGTTTGATCCTCCCATTCCAGCCCTAACTCATCCATCTATAGTCTTCTGTTCTATCTATCTATGGATATCCAACTCTCTCCCTTAATCACATACTCTAAACCTAACCTTTGTGGTTAAATGGATTGTAGCCTGCTTATCAAAGACTTAACAGCTAACGTCCACACATAAATGAATCATAATATAATTGTCTCTTGTTATCTGGATTGCCTCATTCAGGAAAATTGAAATGGAATTACATCACTTACACTTCTTCATTTCCCCAGCCTCTCCCTTTCTCCTACAATCCCTCCCATGCCCCCTCTAGATTTCATAACTGCTTTCTCTTTGTTTTTAGTTGTTATACAAGAATACATCCACACGTGTATTCACAAATATATAATACAAACTGTTGAGTCCATTTTTTGTTGTTTGTGAATCAAATCAATGACCAGCATGGCAAGATATCACATGTTCATGGTAACCAACAGCTGTCTAGTATGATTTAGAAACCACTCAACAGAAAGAAAGCATGCCTAGTACTGGAAATTTAACCAGCTTTACCCAACAAGTCATTGATGTTAGAAAGAATCAAACACCCCACGCCCCAGCTAAAATAGCACAATTCCTCACTATATTCTAAATCTTATTCATATACCCACAGATATGTGTACCTACCTCCCCTACTGAAAGAACACTCTTCTTATAGTTTAAATAAAATGAAAATTAATGAAATAATTTAATTCTTCCTTATAAAACAAATTATAATTATATTTAATTTGTATGATCAAGGTATAAACTTAAACATGACAAGATAAAAATAACCAGTCAGTTATTTTTAAGTTAGATTGTGAAATTTTTCATGCCGAACCAAGCACTTTTAAATATCTGGAGATTTGAGAATCAAACCAAGAATTTCCTGCTGTATTTTATCCAGATATTTTTGGTGAACTTCTAGCTCTAGATTTCTGAAATATTTTGAAATATCTAAAATATCAGTGCTTTAATTTTTAATAAGTTCTCATCACACCATGCTCATATATTTTTTAAAGATACTAAAATAGTTTACAAACAGGTATTTTATATAAGAATTTAATAACAACAGAATAAGAAAATTTAAGCACTTTTAATACTATGAAGACCCAGTTTTCTTGAATAATCATAGATGTGATCCTGAAAGCTTGAAATAGTCAAGCTCTCTTGTTTTAGAATATTATTTCAAGGTTTGTTACTTTTGTTTATAATCTGGAACATTTGTTTAATGATGCAAAGATGTGTTTGATTAAATAAAATTCACCTGCGGTCAGAAGGCTGAGTCAGCAACTAGCTGACAGGAAGTGGTAGGGCGGAGCCAGGGGAGAAAGGTTTATAAGGAGGGGCTAGGAGAAGCACAAGGGCCTTTTAGAGGATGCCAGCAAGGAGAGAAGGTGAGCTACTTGCTATTCAGCCTATAAAGAGCAGAATTCCACCTTAACCTTTGAATATTGAGTTCTTTAGAGGGAGAGAGGTTTAGTTAAGTTCCCTTCACAGTTTTGCGAGAATTGGAGCAGATTTTCCTCTGGCTATGACCATTGAGGCCTAACCACTGCTGGAAGTGACAGAGTTACAGTTGCTTATTCAGACAGCTGTGGCTTAAAACGCAGCAACCATTAAAAAAAATACAACACTCTCTTTCATTCACAAATCTTTTGCACATCTTTTATAAATCACAATTTTTTTCTCAGGCAGTTATAAACTCACAAAAAGAATTTTTACTTAACATATTTTCTATTTTCATATCTATTCATATTTTGTCTTGTCATTACTTTCCCATGCTACCTCAGAACAAATTTATTTTCAGTAATTACTCAGTAAAATAATATCTATTTTTTGTACATTTTTATTTATTCTTTGACAATTTTAAATGTGTTGATATTGCATTCTCATCACATTAACCCTTGTACCCAATTTTATTCTTCATTTCCTGTTACTTAATCCACTTTTCTCAGCAGGTCTCCCTCCCTCCCACTACCCTACTTCCTTTTTTCTTTTGTTTTGTGACCAATTGGGTTAAACCAGGGGTTTCCACTAAGACATGGGTGTGGTGTTATATAGTTGAGAATGGGGAACTCACTAGTGGCAATCCCACTGAAGATAATAGCTCTGGTACCCCCAGAGCCATCATAATGATGATGACATGTTCCCCCAAATCAACTATGGAAAATTAATCCCATGATTCAAATGCAACGTTGTTTAAAAATGGTCATTGGTAATAATTAGAGTTGTAGCATGTGAATTGAGAAGGCAGGATGGCTGTAGAGACAGAATGAAATAAAGAAGACAAAATAGCATATTACCTGTTCGTAAACATAAATACTGGGATTCTTTCCATACATTGAACAAACAGTTGTTTTCCTTCTCCCTTATTCATATTAAGCCACATATTTCATATTTTATTGAAAAAAAGGTCAAAAAACAAACTTTCAGGTTCTCCTTGAAATAATCATAGTTAAACTATTACAATGACAATATAAACCTTACCTAGGTAAAGATTAAGAAAATTTGATTTAAATCTATATAACATAAATAGCTTTTTTAAAGATGATGAATTTTAAAATAAAAAGTGATAAAGATGTTTTCTCTATACCTTGTCTTCCTAATTTGCATATGTATCCTGAGACTTTAAAAGACAGTGCCCCACACGTAATGAAGAGATGGTACTGAAAAACAAGTCAAAAGTCATTGATAATTTTCTGATCACAGTCAAATTCTCATGGCCATCCCACTATAACTTACATACTGTAAAAGTTTCCAATTTTATATTTTCCTAAAATCAAATTGTTTAGCCTATTGGAGAAAAGGGAATACAAAACAATATGCAGACATGTTTTATTATTGTTTCTATGGTTATAACCATTTGTGATAGTATCATAAAATTTGGAGCAAACCCTACCTTGGTTGCCAGGGAATACTGGAAAAAATGGACTCCTTTGCAGGGCTGTTAGTCTTTGTAGTAGGTAACTTAAAATCAGACTCCAGTGGATGTTCAACTACAATTGTCTTAGAGTTTAATAAACAGAACAAATGGAAGGCAAGATGAAAGTCTCAGCAGTTACTAGAAGGAAGCAGGTGGAAAGGAAAATGAGAAAAATGCCATGCCTTTTTGATTAGTAATTGGTGTAGTGCATCAGCCACATGAGACTAAGAAAGCAGCTTTAGAGAAAGGATGAAAATGACCAAATAATTAAAGACAATGTTACAGGGTTGTGATTCAGAACTAGGAGAGATGGATAGGCCTAACAGAGCCTCAGGGAAGCCCATCGCAATGCCAAGGGCTGGGGATTCTGAAAAGGAAATGAGAATTATCTCATAAGGTGATTATTTTTCCTCTAATTTCTTTAGCACACCTTCTGGTGAATCAGCTTTCCCAAGGCATGGTTTTTTGTTTACGTGATTGGCAGGGCTCCTTCTTAGACTTCTTGGGCATTGCGAAGGACAGAGGGAGAGCACACTCTCTTGATCCTGAGGAAAGAACTTTCCCTATTCAGATCTCAACAGAGCCCTGATCAAGACTATTGTAACATCTCCACTTCTGAAGATGTAACCCTAATATCATTTAGAAGATGAGCTAAAATTGCTGTAAAGCTATCAACCATTTCCAACACAAGAATCCAGGGATCTATTTGTATATCTAAATATCCACACCAGAAAAGATGAGTGTTTTGACTGGAGTTTCAGTCACATACTTACATGTAGTCCTCTAGGCTCTCATCTAGAAGGAAACAAGAAATTATGCAGTGATGGAACCTGTGTTTTGCAGTACTGTCCTGCCAAGCATAATGTGCTCAGAGATGTAATAATAGCAAGAAAAAATATGGATTAGTCAAATGTTTTCTTGATTGAATTTGAGGCCTGCTCCTCAGGAGTGATTTCTGACCTGGTACTGTAAACATGGCCAAAGTCACAGAAAGGAAGTGTGAATCCTTTTGGAGAAACTACTAATGGTTCTATCTTTTCTATTATTCTTATTTCTTTGTTCCTTTGTTAAATAGACATTCTTTTCACCTGTCTCCTAAATAAAAATTCATGCTGCTTCCAACCTTACTCAGGGAAGCTTCTTAATGCAAAGGATAACCAAGGGCATCATAACTGTCCAAAGTACTAAGGATAAGCAACTAAGAGTTCTCATCCATATATGTACTATCTCAATCAACCCAATGCTCACGCTAATGGTCAGAGAATGTGATTGCTATTCTTAGTTGTCAACTTCACTATATGTGGAATGAATTACAATCTAGAGAGGACACACTGGGGATCAGATCTTAAGGAAGGAAGACATGCCCTTGATCCAGATCTTGAGGCTGGAAGACACAGGCTTTAGATTTGGATCTTGTTTTTGTGTTTTGATGTGTGTGTGTGTGTGTGTGTGTATGTGTGTGTGTGTGTGTGTGTGTGTGTGTGTGTGTGTGTGTGTATTTGTTTGAATACTGTGCAAGTTTTTTACTACTTAACACATTTCCCTTATACACAATCTCCTTGTTTGCTACATGCAAACATGAAGTACATCTTGGAAGATGACATGTTTATATTCATATTTATATTTTTTAAGCTCTTTAGTGAATTTTCTATGATCTGCATAGTTAAGACTCACTGCCCAAAGATGCTCCAAACACAACATTCTGTTCCAAAGCTTCTGATAGGTTGTTCATTCCTTCAAATGCAGGAAACAGCTTCACCTACAATTTCATGAAAGAAAGGCATAGTAACTAGTGTTTTTTTCCAATTGTAAAATGTCTTTTCTTAATCGTCCTTGCATATTTTCAAACCATGAGCAGAAAGATATGCTTTTGGAATAATATAATAAGAACATGTTTATTTCAATATAGTATTCTGTCCCTCATGAATACAGTAAGAGTTATAAGAATTTAATAAATTTGAGGTGATATATGGTTCAATATATATGATAGTTTGAAATTTTATTATGTTACACATGATAATATGCTTCTAAAAATCTTATTGCAATCTTTTTTTTCAAATTAAACAATTCTGATTTTATTTTGTGGAAATATAAAACTTAATTATGACAAATTAATAATAGTAAATTACTTTACAAATTGCCCCTATAGGTGCACATATTTAAATTATTAGGAATAGCACTAGTTGAAAGAATTAGGAAGTGTTGCCTTGTTTGAGATGTGTCACTGTGGGTGGACTTTGAGCTTTCAAAAGCCCAAGCCAGGCCAAGTATCTCTCTTCCTTCTGCCTGTGGATCCTAATGTAGAACTCTCAGCAGCTTTTCCATCATGATGTCTGCCTGCACATGATCGTGCTCCCTGCCATGATGAAAATGGATTAAACCTCTGAAACAGTAAACAAACCCCAGTTAAATGCTTTTTTTAGTAAGAGTTGCCATGGTCATATTATCTCTTCACAGCAACAGAACCCTGACTAAGACAGGAAGCCACGGAATTTCCCAAACATCCCAGGCTGTTTCCAAGACCTTAGGATGATTGCCACCAACTGACAGCAAAGTCCCCCTGCTGAAGACAACATCTAGACAGTTCCCTGAGTGTTGAGCAGTGGAGCTGATGCCTACATGGAGACTTTACCCCTATATTCTAGCATCTTTGGCACAGGAAGTTACTCTAAAGCTACCAAAAGAGCAATATAAATGCTAACTTGTCACAAACAAGATCTATAATGGTACCCTGTTTAAAATGCATGCTAGTGCAATGGCGGCACAAAGCTTGTGAGAGCAACCAACCGATATCAGATTTGACTTAAGGCCCACTCTGTGTGTTGGAAACCATACCTGCCACTGTTTGAGTCGGTAAGAACTTCAGAACCCAGAACTAGTTAGTCCAGGGACCTAGGGTTAAGCCAAATACTACTTTTCGAAAAAATTAAAAGAAAGAAAGATTTTTGTAGGTATTTTTATTCATTTTATTCATGAATGGAAAAAGCTAAGTAAAAAAACAAAAACAAAAACAAGAACCACAAAAAAACAAAAAACACTAACACCATTGTGGGGTTATTTTATTAAATTTATTACCAAACTCACATTTTTATTTTCTGCTTTGGTGTCTTTATCTTTACAGTCTGTATTTATCACTGATTATGCATGAAGTGTATTCCATGTGTAGGAATTCTTGGGGGTGTTTCAGAAGTTTAGTTTGGGAACATTCTGAATTTGTCACCAAGTAAGGAATAGAGCCATTTTAATATACCATTTCTCTGGAGACTCTGGAACAAACCATGCAGAGTACACCAGTGAAAAGCAAATTACAAGAAACCAAAGAGCACTGTTTTATATGAGGACAATATTTTATACACAGGCAACATTCATTAAAAGGTAAACACTTATTTCAATATTATGACATAGTCTTCAGAATTGAACTTAAGGAAACACCTGTAAAAGAAAATTAGACATTATCTCTTTTAATTCAAAATAATTTTATTTTTGGAACATTTCAAATCTACAAAAATGTATATTAAGAAATATAAGAAATACTTGTTATAAAACTATAGGAATTACGGAGTTTGGGTACTTTATCATTAGACTGTTCATCCTTCCACTTATTTCACAGTGTCCCAGAAGGATAAAATACTAATGTTGTTCTGGTACTCCTGATAAATCCACAATCCTGTATCAACCAAAAGCATAGAATTTTTGTAAGTATAAAAATATATATGAACAGTGGAATGTTGCATTAAAAAAGACTTTGGTTTTGAGGATTTTCAGCATACGTAGTTCTAACTATGCACTAATATTTTACTTTCTTAATGTTTTTCAATTTTCCTTATAAGATATAGTGAGCTTGATCCCATTTTGAACTGTAACAAAGTATATGCAATGTATTCCTATTCATCATTTCTCTGTAACTGAGGGTAAACATGTGTATGTGGGTTCATGGAAATGGAATTTCTCATTAGTAAGTTGTAAACATCTTCAACTTAAGCTGATACTTTATTCTCTAAGCATCTCTAATGCACATGTACCAGCTTACTTACTTCACATATTTGTTAAACAGAATTCTTTCAACAACAGGCTTCATATTATTTTTTATTTCACTGAATAATACTGATCAACAATTTTTAGAGAGACTAACAAGATAAGAAGGCTTCTACAAAGTCAATTACTGTTTGAAATTCTGTTTTGCATACAAGTCACAGTGCCGCATGTCTGGAATGCACATTCTCAGAAGTAAACGATTTTTAAATTGGGGTATCCTCTCTTAGTATGTTATCTTCTACCAAATACTTTTACCCAGTTAAAAGATCATGGATCTAAATTCTTTTCAATGCCTGTTTAATGTTTTGATAATAATAAGGCAGAGGAATGAAAATTTCTTGGAGTAAAATAAATTATAGCATGTTACTTTTCCATGTACCTTCTATGTCATGCTGATTGATGCCTCGTCTATCCAATTTCCACATCATTTATATATGTTTGTGTTCCAAGAGATCATTAGTTACATATTTATTAAGAAACCATATATGTTGCTCTAAAAATATCAAAACTTAAATGTAATTTTTAATGAATCATTTTCACCAGAGTAGTATTAATTCTCTATTTTTTATAACTACTAAAATCTAAGAACTAAATACCTAAATAGAAAAAAAAAATGAATGGGGCCACTTGCTGAAAAGAGTGCTTGCAGCTTCTTGGAATTAAATTACCCAATAAAGCAGGATTGGTGCTTCATACCCATTTAATTAAGAAAAGAACATTCTACTTCTATCTCCTATATCACAACTTACAAAATAGGGACTTTAATTGCCCTACTCAATTATGTCAACAATTAAGACAATGTTAAACACTGCGCTATAACTTGTCTTGTTGCATTTGATTCATTTCACTGGCCTATTGTATTACTATAGATGTTTTGAAGCATTAGGAAATGAAAAAAGTGGAATTCCACTAATTTGATTAGATAGGAATTAATTTCCTTAACAGTATAATGAAAGTAAGATAAAAAAATGAAGCAAAGGAGTTAACATAAAAGCAAAATTGAATAGGGATTTATATTAAAATTAATATATAATTTATACAGATTATATTGGTTTTAATCATATTACTTATAATTTTAATGATTCAAAAGTATTGTACTGAATTGGGCCCTTATTCTCAGACAGGTACTATTTAAAGTCTAGATCTGTGATTAATTAATGCAATATCCTAAGATATTTTCTTAATGTGTCTAAACCATGATGTCACCATTATTAAAAGAGGGATTGATCATATAGTAAAATCTATAGTTTAAAATTCTGTCCAAATTTAATAAGATTAAGCACATTAATTAGATAAAACTCATAAAATGCTTGTGGTGACAATTTAATTACTTAATAAATTTAAGTACAATTATATTAGCTTTTTTTGCCATGATTTAATGTCCCTTTACATCCAGAAAAAATTCACACTAATCCTAAATTCTGAACTTCTTAGGTTAATTTGATTCTCTTTGCCTGCCCTTCCCTTTATAAATTATATCCACAGATTCCTATATTTACTCTGTTTATAATGAACCTATATATAGTACAATACATATTAACTTCAAACAATTTTAATTTTTCCAAATGATTATAGTTGTACATATGTGTATTTCATATAATAATATAGACAAGCCTAGGGAATACCATGCTGTTTTATAATAAACAAATCAATTATTTTTAAACACTTTACTAATTCTGGAGTCCCATTTATCACTCATCTTGTTCCATTATTGGTTTATAAAGAAGCTTTTTGGTATGGTCCTACCACAGCCAGGGTCTGTGTTGATGTCCCTTGCCCACATTACCACAAAAGGACATGAGGATGCCTGTCATCTGTACTGACACCTGATGCCATGTGGGTTGATGACCTAAGGCCTTGTTGAGCTGTCTTGCCCCTCACTGGCCTGGGTAGAGATGGCCCCACCACTCACCAGGCCTCTGCACCAGACCTGGCCCTTGCAAGCCCGAGAGTGTTTTTGTGGGGACCTAGGCTTACCAACCCAGCTACCATCCAGGCCCACCTCCAGGGCTTTGAGTTGGGCCACCCCAACATCTACCCCATCTATGACCTGCTGGAGTGTGTGAAGGTCATGGCCTTTATCTGCAGCCTACTGTATAACCCCACAACAAAATTTAATGAAAAAAAATACATGTATCTTATTTCCTTCTTCTGTCTCTGTGATAAAATATTCTGTAACAGCAACAAAGGAAAGAAAGCATTTATTTTAATTTACAGTTCCGAGTTGAAATACATCAGTATGGACAAATCACAGTAGCAAGACCAGGAGGCAGCTAGTAACATTTTATCAGTAGTAAACATATAAGTCAATGGGTGGATGTTTCTGTGCCAGTCCCCTACTAATTTTCTCCAATCATGTAGTTCAGAATTCCCTGCAGAGAGAATGGTGCCACCCACAGAGGTCAGAGCTTCATACCTCATTCAGACAGTCAAGATGCTTCCACAGAGGTCAGGGTTTCACACCTCATTCAAACAGTCAGGATGCTTCTTGACATACATTCTCATTCTCAATGGACTGCCTCCTAGATTATTCTACATTTTTTGTCAAGCTGACAATCAATCACCAAAACAACATGAAAATACCAATGCTTGGAATATGAAAAAAATCAAAGGAAAAATTTAGAACTAATAATACATATTTTTCTTAAAATAATCATCTGTGTATGTATTCCTTTCTCCTTGGAAGTCTGAGATTAAAAAAAAAAGCTTGTATATACAGGACCAA